CGTGAATATTTCATGTAAACATTCCATCATTTCACATCTTTTTTTTTATTTTTTTTTTATTTTAGGGCAGCGATCCACCTGCACCCTTTACAATCATGTCAAGAACTGTTCTTGGCCTGACCACTCGTCCTGATCTTGTGGTCAGTATGGGGCTGTTATTTTTGGTTTGTGACTCAGAGCCCGATGAAAGCTGTGACTCTGTCTGTTGTTGAGCTGCCTTTTCAAGCTGAGCTCCTGGATCAGTTGTCGGTGTTGAAGGTGCTGATGGACCTTTTGTGTCCCTCAAGTGTCGCCGGTTGCGTCGTAGGGTCTGTCCCTCACTGGTGCGGATGATGAAAGAACGATCCGTCTCTGCAGGTTGGATGACGACAGCTGGTTTCCAGAGTCCTGTGTCATGCTGAAAACGAATATGGTCGCCTTGCTGCAGCTTTGGTAGTGGTGTGGCGCTGTGATTGTAGTATCGCTTCTGGTGTTCTTGTTTTTCCTTCCTTTTAGCCTGTACCGCCGTCTGACTTACGGTGCGTGGCTTTAGTTGATTTCTGGTGACTGGAAGTACTGATCGCAGACGTCGGCTCATCAGAAGCTGGGCTGGTGATTTAAAGTCATCAACTGGTGTGTTCCTGTGCTCTAGAAGAGACAGGTAGGGATCTACGCTCTGGGCATGAGCCTTATCCAGAACTGATTTGGCTGTTCTGACTGTTCTCTCAGCAAGACCATTGCTCTGTGGGTACAAGGGGCTTGATGTTGTGTGCACAAAGTCCCATGTGTCTGCAAAACTTTTGAATTATTGTGAGCTGTACTGTGGCCCATTATCAGAAATAAACTTTTCTGGTATCCCATGTCTAGCAAATATAGGTTTGAGTTTTGCGATGACTGCTCCTGTAGTGGTGGATGTCAATCCTTCCAGCTCAAAATAACGGCTGTAATAGTCCACAACTATGAGGTAGTCTTTTCCATGCCAGGTGAACAGGTCTGAGGCTACGACCTGCCATGATCTCTCCGGGATTTGGTGTGAGATGAGGGGTTCTTTTGGATTTGACGCACGTCTCTCCTGACATATGGAACAGTTTTCCACTTTGGAGGCGATTTCTTTGCCCATCCCTGGCCAGAAAAGGGCATCCCGTGCTCTCTGTTTACTCCTCTCAATCCCCATGTGTCCAGTGTGGATTTTTTCCAGCATGTTGCCTCTCAGGGTTGCCGGCACGATGATTTTGTCACCTTTAAAGATGATGCCATCATAGTGTGAAATTTCATCTCTGAAATTCCAGAAATCCAGTAGTGTTGTGGGACATTTTTTCCTGTCCTTAGGCCAGCCAGCATGTACAGTTTGCTTTAACTGGATGAGCTGTGGGTCGTTTGCCGTAGCAGCTCGTATCTCTGAAAGCTTTCTGTCACTTACTGGTAGGCTGTTCAACACTGAATGGACCTGGTCCTCCATGCCTTCACTCAACGTGCTGTCTAAGTCAGGCAGGGGCTTCCTGGATAGGGTGTCGGCCACAGGTATGTCTTTTCCCGGGCGGTGCACAATCTCAAGGTCATACCTTTGTAGCTGAAGAAGCATGCGTTGCAGACGCACTGGGGCCGTGCAGATTGGTTTTTTCAATATGTGCTCCAACGGCTTGTGGTCTGACTCGACGATGATCTTCTTGCCATATATGTAGGTATGGAAGCGTTTACATCCAAAAAGTACTGCGAAGAGCTCCTTCTCGATCTGTGCATATATGGCAAGAAGATCATCGTCGAGTCAGACCACAAGCCGTTGG